TCGTCTTCGTCGTCTTCGTCTTCGTCTTCGTCTTCGTCGTTGTTAAGTGCCGGTCGATCAACGATGCGGAATAAAGAGGATTCTAACCGGAGAAAAAAAGAGAGAGAGAGAGAGAGAGAGAGAGTCCTTGCGTTTTACGATTTTGCAAGAAATACCTCCAACGTGTTTCTTATAAATTTTTATTCTCGTAGAATAGAAACACGTGCAAAGAATTAAGCAAACTTTTTTTTTTTTTATCGAAACAACTAACATATTTCTCTGTATAAAATTCATTTGATTTTACAAATAGAATATTAATTACTTCTTTAAATGAATTATTGATACAATTATTTTTCATTTTCCATAGTTCGATGTCTCGTATAAATATACATATATAACAAATATACGAATGTAATACAGGTAGTGTTAGTAGAGTTCGTTCGACTAGGTCGTTCGGATGTCTTCGGTGAGCTTCGATCGTACTCGTAGAGTCTCGGTTGATTTCGACCAGCGGCGTATTATTGGTACGCTCAGTCCGCGACGAGCCACCGGTGGGGAAGGAGTTTCCTGTCACTTTGCATCTTATGTTTATATATAAACATTTTTTATTTTCGTGTGTTAGTTTAGAATACGCACGTGCAATGGGGTTGCATATAGTCGAAATATAATCGAGAGTGATATTGTGTTGGTGTGATAAATTGCAACTAACAGGCGGGAAAGACTATCGTGTTTGAAAATTTCTTGTCGAATTTGTTAAACGTACTACAGTTTTTAAAGGTTTCGTCGTTTGACAAGTGTGAATTGCATGCACGTTTATTTTAATTTTTTTTTTATTTTCCTTGTTCGTTCGTTCGTTTGCAGTGGCTCGCATCGATCGTCGTAGCAGTGAGTGAAAATTGTTGTGCGTGTTGTGTTGAAATGTCGAAGAATCGTGAGAAAGGAGCGATCGATAATTTTCTACGTTTGCTTAAAAAACACGACGGTCGGTTGTTTAAGCGTGATCTAGCATGACCGCATAACCTATATTTGAAGAAAGAAGAAATACAAATGGCCGACCAAGTGTTTTAAACGTTCTTGCTGAATTTGTCTCTCTCCATCTATTTTCGAAGGCAAAGTGCGAGAAACATCGAAAACTCGTTTCGATATTCGAGAGGACCGCTGAAACGTGACGGTATGTCTTCTTTTTCGCGTGCTAGTAGACCGGCTCGAGGTCGAAAATCTTCTTTCTCCTCCTTCCTCTTCATTCTCCTCTTCTTCTTCATCTTCTTCTTCTTCTTCTTCTTCTTCTTCTTTGAGCTAAGACTTTCCTCTCCTCGGATGTTTATCTCCCGCTCGTATGTGTACGTGTGTTCTGCGACGTTTCAGAGAGAAAGAGAGAATATACTGTAAGAAGATTTAAGCAAGACGAAAATATCTGTCTCTCTTTCTATCGCGTCTTAAATATTTGAAGGATTATCTTGAATAATCTTTTTGCTCGGTTTCTGTCGCGAAACGACCGGTATCCATAAAGCTAAATCTTCCAAGTGGTAAGAAGGACGATATCGTCGTCCTTCTCCTTCTCCTCCTCCTCCTTCTCCTCCTCTCTCTCTTTCTCTCTTTTAAACTCTTCACGATAAGTTGTTCTTTGCGAGATATTATCACAGATTCGTTACTGCCTTCTTTTTTGATAATCAAAGTATTTGCTTACACGTAACATCGATCGATTACTTCCCATTAAACCGTTATTTATTTATAAGCAATATTTTTTTTTTTAGAGTATTGCATATACACCGTGGCAAAAAACAATGATTATATCAAATTACAAGCTTATACAAATTAGTTAGCAATAATGTAAAATAACACTCATTAAAATATTCCTTTGATTGAATATGTTTTGACTCATATCTCCTGCATACCAAGGATCGTTATTAGCAAACGGAAGATCAGGAGGAAGAAAATGATTAGGTATACGGTGTAGATAAAAGTAAACAAGAACATGATATCTTTCTGTTAGTACGAATCCTTGAAGAGAGAGAGGAAGAGAGAGAGAGAGAGAGAGAGTTATCAATATTCCGTACACCTGGTATCCTTATTTCCGTAGCGAATTCCCAGGCGTCTTTCATCCGATGTTTACGAGGGACCTTAGTCTCTTCTTAAGTAGTAGGTACTTGGATCTTTACTTTCTTTTTCTCTCCCTTTTCTTTCTTCACGCTGCTGATGCTGTTGCTGTTGCTGTTGGAGAGAGAAGTAGGCAGGTTTTCTCATGGTAATAATCGGAACAGAAGAGACGACGTTCAATTTCATTTCTCTTATTTCTTTCGTGTATACTACACGTATATATTCAAATCATTAAAATACGTAGAATGAAATCAAATACAATATAAAAAAGATCATTAATTTCGATATTCACGTGTTACGAAAGTTGAATTTTTGTCTCGAACCGAATTGATAAGTTTCCTTTCCATTTTGATGGTCATCGCAAAGAAAGAGATAGAAAGAGATAGAAAGAGAGAAAGGAAGGAAGGAAGGAAGGAAGGAACATGAGAGAAAAAGAAAGAAAGAAACTACGAATTCCAGTGTATAGTCACGAAACGATTACACGTTCGCCAACCACCAACATCGAACTTCGATGCGAACGACCTCTCTCTGCGGGTCCTTTTCCATCTTTTTGCCGTTCTCCAGATATCTTCTCTTTCTGTTACTCCTACGGACGTTCCTCCGATATACGCGGTGATACTACACACATTGGTACACACATTAATACACACATTGCTGCATACGTACATACACGTAACGTTTCCTTAGGTATATTCGCCAAACCAGTTCACGTGCTGTAATCTTCACAACGTGATCCCATGGAGCGTGATCTTGATCTTCGCACGCGTATAGAATAGACACGGTATTACCACTTTGGTGACTCCTCTTGTAACACCGTTCAAGTTGCATCACCCCGACCATAATTGGGTTAATCGTTCGATATTTATTGAAGTGAAAACTTCTTTAGAATGGGTGTGATTTGAAAAATGGAATCGTCGCCGTTTAGTGGGTGGCGCGTTCGCGGGGTGTAATTCGCGAGGGAGAGAGATCTAAAGAAATTAGTTACAACTTATTAGATACAATTTGGAAGGTGATAGTTTTTGTTAGTTACCCCCATTCTAAGATCATCACATTGATTCTTTCTAGTATGCGTGACTAGACATCAACATTTATACTTGTTAACATCATTTTATCGATAATTAATTAGAAGCAAACATTATAGTAGAATTATTGTTTATAATTAACCCTAATATAATTAGGTTAATTGCTCGAAAATTGTTTACTTACTCGATAGAGAAGGTTTTGAAATTTAATTTGATTATTATATTTGTTTGATACTTGAAATAATTAGAGTAGGAAAAAAAGATCATTAGTATTAATTCGATTACGTTCGTTTGATTTCGATGATTACGGGAGTTGGATGTTACGAGAGCACTGTTAAAGAAGTAATTAGATTAGAACGATCGTTATTTCTAATCAGGTAGAAAGATCTGAGAAGAAAAGTAGCAATATCGTTTGATTGTCGTTGGAGGATCGTTTCTCTAAGGTCAAGAGTTTCTTCTTCTTCTTCGTCGTGTCTGCGCCGCACTACGCGAGCTATGGATAACGAACGGCCAATTAATTACAGGCGAGCTTAATTAAGGACGGCTCTTTGCGTTTCACACAAGATAGATCCATTTACATGATTGCGCCATTAAGTGTCCACGCTCGCTTTGTTCCACCTGCCTTTAACGAGTTGTTGTTGCATTCTATCCATCTATTTCTTTCTCTCTCTCTCTCTCTCTTCTTTATCCGATTTCTAAATCGGATCGTTGACTATCGGCACGTAAGAAGTTGCCTTTTTTCCCCCCCTTCCCTCTCCTCCCTTCTCCCCGATATCTCGTAATATTCGCTTTGCAATTTTACTTTCGAATACGTGGCCATGATGTGTTACGTACAATCTTCCTTTTGTTTTGTTTTTTTTTTTTATTTTTTTTTTAACATTATCTAATATTATAATACTATTATTGTATATTATAAAAGAGCTGTTCGTTACTACGGAAATGAAAATGCAGAGATAATAAATGAAAGGTTAATTGAGAGAGAAAATGATAGAAAATATAAATGAAAATGAATATTAATGTTGGCAAATCGTAGAAAAGGAGAAAAGGGATAGGATGTAATGTAGCAACAAATGAATTTTCTTTCTCTTTAAAGTCGCGAAAAGAGAAGTCACAACCTTTTGAGAATTTTCCATTAAAAGCAAAGAGTTAAAAGTCTCTAGGAAGCTATCGTGTTCCGCAACGACGAAGCCGGCGCGGCGCGGTTTATCGAAACAATGCAAGTCTCTGTTGGTAGAACGAACGAACGAACGAACGAACGATCGAACGAACCAACGAACCAACGATGGTGGCTAGTTTAGGAAGTTCGTTAATTAAAATCCCTAATTGAAAGTGCACCCTGGCTACGGAACAACGTTATCTCATTCCCTTTTATATATATACATACGGTGGTATGGAATTATCTCGCATTGAACGAAGAAGCTTAACGTGTATTTTTCCCTTTTTTCCTTGTGTTCTTGTTTTTTTATCTTTTTCTTTATCTTCTCTTTTTAATTTATTCGAACATGCGCTTTACGCGTGTTTCTCTCTTCCTTTTAGCAACCTTACAGAGGCATAGGCAACTCGTCTGGAATATAATCTAATAATAGATTACCGGATATGTGCCGTGTATCCGCGAGTGCTGTTGTTGTTGTTGTTTCAAATTTGGGGAAAGTAAAATGACGATCGACTAATCGTCCATCAAACGCCGAGGGATTTATTTGACCTATCGAAGATGAAGTGAATCGTAAGGATATCAAGGAAAAGAGAAGGAAGGAAGAGCTTTCCTCTGATAGTTGATAAAAAAAGCTTTTGAATATCATAGAGAAAAAGAGAAAGAGAAAAGACGAGATGGCGCTGACGCCGAGGCGTCGCAGAGGCGCCGGCGAAAAGCTGTCGGATGAAATCGGTAGTAACGAGGAGTTGTCCGGAGGTGGAGGTGGCGGTGGAGGTGGCGGTGGTGGAAGCGGAGGTGGAACCACCGAGACTTTGAGCGATTCCTGCGGCGAGAGCGACATGGAGGGCCTCGACCTTTCTCTCTTCGAGCCACAGGTCGACGTTGCTTCCTGGTGCGACTCGCGTATTCACGCTGGCATGCTTCATATTCTTCTACATTATTGCTCTGGTAAGCTTTGCGAAACCCCTTTGTTTTTTTTTTTTTTATAAAAGTATAAAATACTTGTTTGTCAATTTTTCCAAACGTGTATTTCAATAAATATGCGCCATATTTACGCTATCTTGGCGCCATGTTTTAATTTTTGGGAAGAGTTCGATGCTTGGATAAGTAACACCGGGAGAGAGATCAAGAACAGAGGGGAATGATTTTCTTTAAACCGTTATTGTTATAGCTATTGTCATTGTTTGTTGTTATTAATATTGTTATTGTATTAAATACATATACATATATATATATATATATATATATATATATATATATATGTGAGGAACGACACTACGGCATTAAGAGCGCAGATCGGCATTAACATACAATGGCGTATTATTCTTTGCTCGAAGGACGTTCTCCCGTCCCGTCTACTTGATTTATTTCTTTGAATTTTGGCATTGCAACTCCTTGCAAACTCGTAGGAAGATGTGCGGGTTGAGAATTACCATCGAACTAAATTCACGTGCTGCTCTAGAGAGAAACGTTATATTGCTGCTCATCGCGAATAGCAATTATTTGTACAGTGTCTTATACCAAAAAGTACTAGGAAAAAAAAAACAGAAGATTTTTTTTTAATTGGAACGTGTTCGATCGATTTCACGTCAAATATTTACGAAAACTAATGTAAACGAACGATATCATCGCAGACTTTTTCTACTTTTTCTACTTTTTCTACTTGTTACTTACGTCATGATCATTTGATTCCTTTGGATATGCATATACGTTAACATAAACCAATGAGTTTTTTAAATAGCGTATCGAGTATAAATATCGTCACAATTTTCCGTATTTTATACGTAAAAAGTCGAACAAACGACAATCACATTTTTTACCATTTTTTTGTTTGTTTACGCATTACATCATAGTATTTAATTGTTAATAGAAATATTAGGTGGTTCGAAAAGTCATTTGGTTTTTTGCAGACGCAATAATGGCATTAGTTAATGCAAACCGACGAATAGTAACACATGAGATCGATCGAGAGTTTAAATTTATCAAATTCAACTATTTATGATTACTTGAAAGGTTTAGGTTTAACCTCGAAGCAAAAATTATCCCTTCATTTTTACAAAAGAAAATCGAAACGACTTTCCGAACCACCTTAAATTGCTATTGTTTATTTCGTTATATAAAACGATACGAATTGAAAGATTTTTTCATTGGCCAAGGCAATAAATAATATCATGAATAAATTTGTAGAAAAATTAGAAGAGATATACATATATATATATATAGGCGAGAGAAATTGAATCAGAATTTGAAATAGAGAAATTGAAACAGAATCTGAAATAGAATTTGAAATAGAGCATTTTGTGAACAGACACGTATACCCGCGCACACATCTATTATCTATACATACATATAGACACGATAGAAGGTTCAAATAGAGATCGATCTCTCGCTTCGATGTAGGTAAACGAGTCACGTTACATCTCTCTCTCTCTCTCTCTCTTTCTCTCTCTTTCTTTTTCGTCCTCCTTTCTCAATCCATTACTCTCTTTCGTATTGCCTTGGTGTTACGCGTAAACGGCTTGGTTTCTTTCACGAATCGAATCGAATCGAATCGAATCGAGTCGAGTCGAGTCGAGTCGAGTCGAATCGAATAGAACAGAACAGAACATCGTTAGAATCTAACTGGAATGTTAGAAACGGTACTCGCGTTCAAACTAATTCTTCTTATTTACGATTAGGTCGAGCAACGATAAACGTTTTTCAAATAATATCCTAGCAAGATATTCAATTGATTATCGGTTTGTTAATTAACAATATAACTCAATCATGCGAATAATTGATTAAAAATTGCAAACGCATGATGGATTGGTAGTTTGATCGATCGATCGATCGATTCTARTAGCCTTATCTTTTTTCTCTCGCTTGTAATTCCGTTATCCAATGAATCGATGTTATTAGATGATATTAGAAATCTCTTTAGATAAATTAAATAATAAATACTTTTTTGAGAGAGATAATATTGTCGGCAATAACTGTACATACAACTTAATCGACGACTATAACTCTCTTTCGTATTTGTTCTTTTGAAGAAAATCTGAGTTTTATTATATCATAAAAATATATATTAAACGTATCTCACGATTACTATCGCGATATGGAAGATAATTTAATCGATTTCTATCGTCTTTGACAATTTTTATCTTTAGATAATTGAATTATCTTCGGTAATTGTTTCGATTGTCTACGTACGGCAAGTTTAATGACCAAATTTGATTTGTATCGTAAAATGATCTCACTTCAAGATTAAGAAAATATATTTTTGAGAGAGAATTTGCGAGGATAGAAAAAAAAATAATCGATGTTTTATTTGATTTCTTTTGAATTAGAAGAAACGCGACTTGGTGGTTACTTAATAATAGAAGAACTCGTTGGAGAACTCGAACGACGTATATAAATCGATCCACGGTTCGTCGACTGTAGATAAATATTATCGCGAAGCTCGCTGACCCATCTGGCTTTGCTCTTTGCGATCTTATTTTTGGATCTTTCTATGGATACCACTAATAATGACAATTTTACAGCTTGGCTTTTCTCTTATTCTTATCCTTGAATATCCTGTTAGAGTCCTGTAGTATCTAACAATATAACAGTGCTCTCTCTCTCTCTCATTGAAAAGCACCGACCTACATTTTCAACTTCGTACGGATACTCTTCTTTGCAAGCTCACTTAACAGCTAATTACGAATGAAAGAAATAGAATGAGAGAGAGAGAGAGAGAGAGAGAGAGAGTATGAGTCGCGTAGTTTGTTTCGTGTCTTTCATCTATAAGGACAATCAAAGCTTTCTATTTTTAATTTCTCGTTGAACTCTATTATCAATTTCATATTTCTTTCTAATCGGAAATAAAACTAGGTCGTAGATTTTTTCAAGCGTTAATTTATCTATCGATTAATTTTACATAAATTCTATTCAGTTGAACAACTTTGTGTCATACAACATTTTGTATATTCGTTTAACTGAAATTTCAACAAATGTATCAAATGGAATGATAAAGAAGTCGTGTTTGTTCGCATAGATTTTGACGTCAGTTCCGATTTAGACGTGGATGATTCAGACGGAAGAGTAATTTTCAATCTACTACCATTGTTTTGATTTCGATCAGAGAGAAGTCGCACATTGTCCTCGGCAATCTATTTTCCGTAGATACCTTCGTTCTAGATGCTGCAACCTGCGCAAGCTTCTTTTTTAATGGAAGTGTCAAATGCATTCGCTGTTAGGTCAGCAACTTTAGTTCTCGACAAAACAGCTGTCGTCTGTTTTTCTTTTACGTTTAATTTCGAATCGATAATATTTCGCGATAAAACAAAATGTCTCGTTGAAATCGATGATGATGATGATGATGATGATGATGATTTTATCATTACTGTAGATTTGAATCAAGGTCGAGGAAATAATATTTTCAAAGAGGGAATATCAGAGAAGAGAAAAGGAAATAATAATTCGAAAAGCTATCAGTCGTCGTCGTCGTCATAGTCGTAGTCGTAGTCGTAGTCGTAGTCGTAGTCGTAGTCGTAGTCGTAGTCGTACCTCTAGGAAGGTTCATTAAAATCCGGAAATTGTTTGGCCGTTAGCAACGTGCACACAGTTTACTCGACAATTTCAACGAGTTCAAGATTTACCGGCAACCTTTTACCAAATGCATTCGATAAAAGCTTTACTCATGATTTATTGCAATTTATTATAATCGCGTAGCGAGATATATAATTTATATCTTACGTATAGTAAAGTATATAGAAAAAGAAAAGAAAAGAAAAGAAAAAATACAACAACACAACAAGGAAGAAAGATGAAAAAGTATAAGAATAATAATAATAAGAAGAAGAAACTATAACTCAGTCAGTATCATCCTTTTTCTATCTCGTGGATTTCTCTGTAATCATTTTCTCCGAGAGGCACTCTCATTGTATTCTCTCGGCCGTGAACTATGACGCAAACTTTTCACGAGACTATTACGATCCGCGAAGCGAAGTGATTTGATATCGAATCGGCTGTGAGAGATAGTGAAAAGGGTACGAGAAGAAGGAAAAAGAAAAGAAAAAGAAGAAGAAGAAGAAGAAGAAGAAGAAGAAATGACGGTGAAGAAAGAAAGACCCTTTCAGAAGCAGATAGACACCTTTGTGCGAATCTCGAAAGACTTTCCGTCGAACGTTAGGAAGAAAGAAAGAAAGAGAGAGAGAGAAAGAGACAGGAACAACGAAGATCTTTTCAATAGCACAAGAACCAACCAACCAACCAACCAACCAACCAACCAACCAACCAACCAACCACCGTGGCTGATCAACGCAAAACGTTAAGAGTTCATAAACTTCTTCCGCCAAGTCGATAATTGATTCGACGAACTTTTCAAATGAGAATTGTACACGCTACATTTTCATTTTTCTTTTTTTTCATCTTTTTCATCTTTTTCTTTCCTTCCTCGTTAGCCCTTTAATACTCTGACCTTCTTCTTACCCTTTAACAAAACTTTATTACTAATTATTAAATAAATATTAAAGCGGATGTAATTTCAATGAAAATGTCAATCGTAAAAATATTTGTATTAGGTCCATTAAAAGTATGAAATGTCGGATTACCTAAAAGCTTCAAGTTTGATATCAAATATCTCCGATATTTCACTTCGATTGTCCTTTATTTTTTTTTTTTGCATTAGGAAGGTACGCCATCTGGATTTCAGATGCACTCTTTTGTTTTTAATAGTAAGCCATGGATAAGACAAAAATGCGTGTTATTTTCGAATATAAGTTCCGTCGTGGAACTAATTCAGATAAGAAAATATCACAGATACTAGAATACTAATTGTAAATAAATATTTAAGTAGACATAATAGACAATTGCGCAAGCAAGCAAGCACCTGTGTATTTAAGCATTGACAAAACTTATTTTGTAACATCGTTGAAGAAGGTAAAAGAAGAGAAATTCAATTCGATCATACTATCTCGTTTCACTTGCCTTTACTCGATTGGATGAAATAGCTGACTCATATCAGAACCAGTATCATCCTCTAAGCAATGTTTAAAAAAAAAAAAATGACTATTACATAAATTGAATAACAATCTCTTGGAATACTGTAATCATACGAATACGCTTTGTTAGATTAAATTAAGAAATACGTTGTTAAGAAGAAAAATAACACGCGTGTGTTTCTGTGTGTGTGTGTGCGTGTGTTGGTGGTGGCACGTGCTCTAGAGTCTCTGGATCACGCATATTAATTAAGAAAGGGTGAAAGAGGGGAGAGCAAGAGGAACGACGTACGATGACGTAGGTTTCCTTCCGCGTAGAAGAAAATAGAATACGAGAAGAAGAATGGAAAAGAAGTACGTAAATAAGAAAGTAAGAAAGTAAGAAAGAAAGAAAGGAAGAAAGAGATGGAGAATGGTGGACGATGGAGACAAGGGTCGTGAAAGAACAAGTCCAAGATAAGATCACCGGTAATGAACTAGCTGGGTCCAGCATGCGTCTAATGAGGACCGCAGAAATAATCTTGCCTCGAGATAGAAACACGCGCGACTTCTGCCTCTTGCAAAGACCTATCTTTTTCTTTTTCCATTTTTCTATCTTTCTATCTTATTCTACGAGAAGAATGAATCTTCGTGGATGCTTGAGAATCTCTCACCTATTTCTATTTCTAAAACAGTTGCACCGACTGACATGCAAAAATCGCGCCCGCTGTTCATATTAATGAATTGGTTCGAGAGCACGCCGCATTCAAAGGGTTAAAATGTCATTTGTTTAGTTGCATTAATAAGAAAAATCATTTCGGAAAGAACGAGAAAGAACATTTAGGAAATAATGTTCTTATTTGATTTACAGAGGCCGATTGCTGTGCTGGAGAGTCCGCAGGCGAAGCATGTTGGGAACCTTGTTATTGCGTGCTCCTGCAGGACGAACAAACCCTCACGGCTTACAGGAGCGAGGACATGGCAGTGAGTAGATTTCACCCTAAAAGCCTTTCCAATTCTCTCGGATTATCCTGCGGCTTTCTACGGTACTTTTGCATACGCCGGATGATGATACTCTGTATAATAAGGGGACACCTTTTAAACAAGGATCGTATTAATCATTTCCATAATAATTTCAAACCTTTTTCTTCTTCTTCTTTTTTTTCTTTTTCCTTTTCCTTTTCCTTTTTTTTTCACAAACATGAATTATTTATAATGAAATAAATGAATCGATTTACGCATAGGAATTTGAACATTTAGATAATCGTATTTAGATAAGTTTGACTATCGACGCACTTTGCTTGAAGATAAAAAAAAGAAGAAGAAAAAGAAAATGGGGAGAAATGTTATTATTATATTTATGTCCCCGTGTCGTAAAGAACATCGAGTCAAGGAGAATGGTACATGGAGGTACCCATGGAGGTACCCATGGAGGTACCCATGAAGGTACGCATGGAGGTACGATTAGAGGAGAGAAGATTTGACTTGGATCTAGCCGTCGGGTAACAGTAATCTTCATCACCTGTCTACGCTCACCCTCTTTCCAAGTCCTCTCATCTAACCACTCGCATCTCTTCTTACAGTGGCCGTGCCTTGTTATTACTCTATCAAGATCAGCGCGCACCTTCTTTTATCTTCTTCTTCTTCTTCTTCTTCTTCTTCTTCTTTTCTCTTTCTTTTCTCCTTTCTCTTAGAATACGTCATTCCTCGTCTCCGTGTAATCGCATTCGAGAAAGAGAGAGTCAACAATCTGTACTTTGTGTGTCTTCAAAGTCCCTAGGTGAACGACCAACTTGCTTTGACCTTGATTATTGCTGCATCTTTCCTTCTTTTTATATTTTTTGTTAATTTCAAATATTGTCGAGTTACCAAACCATCGAGATTTTCGTTTGATCAATTTCCATACGAATTTTTTCTCAGTGTCATTTAACCCCCTTGGCAAAGTAACTTTATCAGGAAAACCTTTGAACGAAAAAAAAAGAAAATATATATAAAAATGTCCGTGTCTTTTACTAATTTTTAATTGATAGTTTATAATATTAATTTGAAATATTATTAGGTAGTAGATATTTATTGGGCAAGGGCCGATAAGAGCAAATGAGAAACTTTAGCTATTAATAATTTGTATCCCTTTAAGTTGTAGTAGAGACTCGATATAAACTTCATTTTGCGTAGAATTTCTGAGAAGTGGTAGGAATAGTTGGATGTTAAAAGCAGACGTTTGTCGGGAAATTTTAAGGGTAGAATTCTCTCTCTCTCTCTCTCTCTCTTATCTAGGAGAGAAGAGAGTAGGCTAGACTACTCGATACGCACGAGTGAACTTGATCCCCCCTAACGATAAATTATGCACGTTGGGGGTATCTAGAGATAGAGGGTATATATATATGTACATACCCTTTGTGCTTTCCACCCTCGATAATAGCACCCCTTCTCCCTTTTCGATTCATTCGAGATGGTGGTTCCCCAATCTTAGTCTTCGGTTGCAAATTTATTGACCGATTCGTATTGCTTTTTTCGCTCGAAAAAAAAAAAACATTTTTTACCACTGTACGAAAAAAAATTTGTCTTTGCAATAATTGAATGGCAACTTGTATGTTACTTGTGTATTATCAAGGAGTATCATTTGATTGAAAATACAAATTGGATTTTGGAAAAGTAAGTCCTTTCCTTTCCTTTCCTTTCCTTTCCTTTCCTGTCCTATCCTTTTTTTATTTTCTTTTTCATTTTCTTTCCTTTTCTCAAATAAGACGGCGAGCTTACTTAGAGAGGGTTGATTCGAGACGCGTGGAACGTGTATTTTCGTACGTGTACGCGCGCATGAAAAGGAGAGAGAAAAAAAAACTCTTTTGGGTTCGACCGATATGAAATCCTTTTGACTAGAGGGAAGAAGGTAACCAACGTGGTATCCCTGGTGTAAGAAATCCTTCGGGAGACTTTTGCACCAAGAATCTCTATCTCATTTTCTCTTTTCACTACGACTTCGCTAGATAAATCGGCTTCTCTACCTTTTTCGTATCCTTTTCAACTCTTTTCCCTCGTGAGAAAACTCCTTTTTTTTCTTCTTCTTCTTCTTCTTCTTCTTCCTTCATATTCTCTCTTTCTTTATGGATTCATTTTCTTATAGGAAGTAGTAATAGTCGACGAAGGCCCAGACATTCGTTGGATTATTTTTGATCCCGTCGAGAAAAATTACTTTTTTCTTTCCTTTTATTAGTACACCCCTGGTATAGCGATATTATTTTATTTTTATTTTTATAATAAATCTAAAAAAAAAAAAAAGAAGCAATAATCATTTGAACGGATAAAATGATTGGTCAAGAATTAGGACAATAATAATTCGGACGAGTTTGGTGAAACGTATATTCTCGTTTATATAAATGACAAGATTTATGAATGGAGTTGAGTAAGTAATCGTTACTCAAGATATCTCGATATCTATCTCGAACGATTTCTCTCTAGTCATTGGCGAGTTAGATCGAAACTTTAAAGGATTGACGACTGACTATCGATGCTCACAATCTTCCTTAATGTCTGCATTCGGAGATTACAAATAAAAATAGTAGAAAGGTATCTTCTCGAGAAAGTTGTACAGAAAGTTTTCTTCTTGCTTGTAAGATGAAGAGAGAGAGGCAGAGAGAGAGAGAGAGGGGGGGTGGAGGATGGGAGGATGAGAGAAATGAAATTTGTCGTATTCATGCAGCACCTAGTTAAACACTTGCATGTAGAGAGAGAGAGAGAAAGAGAGGAGTATTCGCGCGAGTTAGGGGAGGGAAAGCAGCATAATTAATCGCACGATGACGCGCGTAATTAATGTCCCTAGCTCGGGGCTAAATTAATCGGGCGCCCTTGAAGTGAGCCCACTCGTAATATTGTCGTTTCTCTCTTCGTAACTCTTGTACTCGTGAATTTTTCATACCTGCTCGAACGGTTTGTCTTAATCGTGATTATTAATCGCTAACGCGAACGGAGACACGTTCCAAAAGGGATGTTTCTCTTTCTCTCTTTTTTTTTTTTTTTTATAAATATTTCCAAAACTTTTATTATTGACAAATAATAAATTTCATTATTCGTTTTATGAACAACGAGAGAGTCGCGTGTTTCGTGCGTTACAACAAATTTGGACAATTATCGGACTCGTTGGATTCGTTTTCATTTATTTTATAGCATTTGTACGGTTTTCACACTATCAAATGAAATATTATTCGTTAGTTAATTGGTTGGTAATAATCCTTGTTCTATCTTTCCTTGGACGCAGCTGTTTGCCGGGACCGCCTGCATGTTCAAGTCTCACAACAAGGTTTGTTCAATATTTCCAACATAGAACAAGAAAAATACTTTCATTTCTCTATGGTGTGTCGTTGTTGTTGTTGTTGTTGATATTGCTGTGTTTTGCTGTATGTTTTTGAAAATACGTGTATATACATATATAGATATTAATTTATTCATTTATTAATTGCACACGCATATTTCAAAAGTCTATGTAAAAAATAGACATGCAAATTATTGATGGAGTTGTAGGAAGTGGCACACCACGTTTCTCGTGTCATTTCTCTGACCTCTCTCAACCTTATCGTTCGTCCTCGAGTCATTAAACTCATGAAAACAGGCTTCTCCTTTCCATTTTTTCTTCCAGTAATCCTTGAAACCTCTACTCAGCTTTCTCTTGGCTTGTACGTGTTAGTTATAGCACCTAATGCAATCCCGTCGTTCTATTAATCCTCATCAAACTCCTCTGTCTCCTCTTTCTTTCTATTTCTATCCATTCCTTTTCATTTCTCTCTCCATTTCTCTCTCCATTTCTTCCCATTTCTTCCCATTTCTTTCTATTTTTCTTCCTTTCGCTCATCCCCCATAAAAACGTCATTCCAATGCGCTTGATAAGCTTCTACCCTTTCTGGCACACGTTTCTTTGTTTTTCAGCGCACGTAGTCTCTTTATTCCTGCCCTCTGGCAAAGGTTCGTTCGGATCCCTTTAGTCGTCGTCGTCTTCTTCTTCTTCTTCAACGTTGGGCCGTTGTTAGACATTTCTATGCGAGACACGAATCACGTTCGAACGGGTTCCTCCTCCGTTTGATAACAGACTGAAAGAGTTTCAGTCAGGGTGTTACGATAAAATAGAAGAACTCTTTTTGCAAGGAATGAAAAGATATTTGAATAAACTTGATTGAGTATTGCGTGTGATAGCAGATAGCAGATAATCTTTTACTGCTATTTACTTTTATTTATCTTGATGATAAATATTGATACAATACTTGGAATATTTAATTAAGAAAGAAATCAGGATTGATTAAAGAAAGAATGAACTGTGTACAATAACAATGATCGTTTTCAAGAGAATGAGAAAGGATGGAATGAAAGGAGTTAACTGATTGGTCTGAGTTGTTGGCCTATAAAACTTTAGCACTTGTCTCCTGGAATTAGTTGGTCGCGAGTTACGATAAAGTTAATGTATGACGTTCCGAGGAAAAACGAGGTCAGAATGTTATTTCGACTTTGATAGGAACACTGATGTTACATACTAATTGGTAACCATCATCGTTACTCTACCGTCGCTACTATCGTCGCCACTTTGTCGCCACTTTGTCGCCGTTTGTGCTTTAAACACGTTTCACGTCATTTGTGCGCGCGTTCCTGCAATTTCACTCGTTCTTGTTCGCATGGAGTTGCTAATCACGACCTAATGAGTTAACTACGAGTTTACCGTACCTAAGCTTCTTCATCTGCATCCGATGGTCGATGGTTGATCGTCGTCCCAGTCATTAGAACCTTCGACCAGTAGTCCGTAAACTTCCTTTAGAGCTTTTCGATCGACCTTTCGAACTAACTATAATCTATTTCCGTCCAATCAAATTCCTTCTTCCCTTTGTGTGATCTATTAACTCTATAATATTACAAAACTTTGTTGATCACAGGTAACAGTGTTCCTACAAATTCTTTATCCTAATTGAATTATCCGAATAATTTGAATTATTAAACAAAGACAAACGTTTATACTCTCTCGCATAAATGCATTCCCAATGAGATTCGTTTGACGGACTATTAGCAGCCAATGATTTTATATCAATCAAATTGCATTAAAACGAGCAGCTCAGAACCAACCAACCTCTATGCCAAATCGTCCAATTGTTTAACCGTGAAAATTCCAAATGGTAGGTATTTCATCGTTACGTTTAACGAACGAACGCCATTAACAGACTTCCAACGAATATTATTATTAAAATATAAAATCAAAAAAAAAAAAACAAGCCCAAATTGGATGTAATTCTGATGGTTTTGTACTATTGCTGAAGTACGATTGTCATCGTCATTTTCATCATCCTTGTCATATTGCGGACTCGCAAAATGTTCATAGAACCGAGTGGTACGGTTATTATCAACGCAATATGTATATCTATAATGCAAGATATTTATCTCCCCTTTTCTCTCTTTCTCTCTCTCTCTCTCTCGATTCCTCGTACGCGTCAATGCGTTCGTTCGTTCGGTCTGTCGTATAATTGGCAGATTACTGTGCGAAAAGTGTACCATCAAAATGTATAGGAAACAAATTGAAATGAATAATTTGGTTGATTAGAGAGTAATTCTGGTGGAAAGTTAACGAGACGGATAACGAGCAAGATAAATGAATAAATATTGTAGAAAGAGAGAGGTAGAGAGAGGTAGATAAAAGAGGAAATGAGGGAGGGGGTGTGGTGTAAGATTCTTTCTTCCTTTGGATTTCACGCGACACTATGCGTTCTCCAATGAGCTCTAATTAGTGACGTCATCGAGTCATCAGGTCAATCTACGGTATTCTAAGATAAACCACCAGACACGCTCTTCCAGTCGTCGCTCGACTTCTCGCATGTCTCTTTTAAACGAACAACGATCCTCTTTTATCCGTTTATCGAACGTTGACAACATCAAAGATGGACGTGATTCGATATTACGTGAGTGTCAGCTGCACCACCACCACCACCACCACCACCACCTTGTCTTTCGATTTCGATGTTTTATTTTGATTTTTTTCGTGACGTTTCAAACTAATATTTTTGTATTTTTTGTTTGATTTTTCAGTTGGGGGATGCAATGTTTGTGGAACTACCACGAGTACGGTTGGACGGTGGAGCACGTGCCTTCCGACAACACTGGGGTTACGAATCTCGACCTTTGGCTCCACCACCCCCGTTAATAGAAGAGGACGAAGCAGCAGTCGAGCCAGAAACTGTCAGCCTTCGTGAAGCCAACACCGCGTCTCCGATAGGTGAGAATGTCTCGTCGTTTATCTTCACGAGAAGAACAACCTTTTAAATGATAGTTATCGTTGTCGGTAAAATAGATTCCTTTTTGGTAGTATTTCCATTTATCAATGAACTTCCTTTAGTATCTTATTTTATTTAATTTACATTTTTCGTTCTTAGATTTAAAATTGTTTATATATATATATATATATAATTTTCCATAATTTTCTTTTTCTTTTTAATAATTGATTCAGTCGGTAACAGATCGACATTAGTCTTTAACTTATCAATGCACATATTAACAACAATTTCTATTTAACCGACTGCCTAGTAGTATTCTACCTTATCGATAGTTTTTCTCCACGACTTCTAAACAAATTTTTATTATTTTATTTAAATATATCAAATTTAATGACGTATCATTCGTAGCATTATTGTTATTGAAACGTATTATTTGTACACGAGATTTTGATACGATATTTAACGTAATACGATTGAAATTGAATGAAAGTATACGTTGATTAAAATTCAATCCAGACGAATAAAATGTTTGTAAAACAATGTCGGGAGAAGATTTTAAGAAACGATTTGAAAAGGGTTAATACAAAACGGTATTGACATAGTCACGAACTGAACATTGAGAGCCCGTTATCCATAAGACTTTCCTGATGCGATCATCGTTCGAGCATTGTCTGAAGCACCGGATATGCCCTCACCGGAAGAACCATCCTAGTCCGAAGCATCTGAACCACGTACGATTATTCGATGTGTGTCCCTCTTCCCTCCTCTTTCCTCCTCCTCCTCCTCCTCCTCCTCCTTTTTTCCCTTCGTGTCTTTCTCTCTTCAACGACGAGAGCTCTTTGTCGCGTCAGTGATCTCTCTTGGGTGCGTCCGTGTGCTCGTTCAGGGCACGCATTAGCGCACGCATGAGCGCACGCATGAGCGCACGCATCACGCTCTATTCATGTATATAATATTAAATGCAAAGTTGTGTTTCTTTTTGTCTTTGTCTTATTTCCTCTAATACAAATCTAAATGAATTCGTCACCGTCACGTATTAAGGCTTTTAAAAACTCCGTGTGAATTGCACCGTATTATTCTTTGCAACAATATCCGCCATTTTAGTTTCTTTTTTTTATTTTTTGCTTGCTTATTCATGACCCAATTGAATAATAGTATAGATTATTTTCATGAAATTATTTCTATTCGAGTAGTAAATCTTTTTTTTCCTTTCAATTAAATTTCGTAAAATGAGAAAGAACAGATTGAGAGTAGGGGAGATAGACAAAGAAAGAAAGAAAGAAAGAAAAACTATCTCAAAGTAATCTCACACTTTCGAAAGTTACGTCTTACGGAAATTCGTCCGGGCAAACTAGCGGGCACCGTTAAGTGGCAAGAAGCGTGATTAAGTGCCGTAGTTGCGAATTAAACTGGGTGCTGTTGTAGTAGTAGTAGTAGTAGCAGTAGTAGTAGTACGCKTCGTTTCGTATTCTAAAGGTGTATACTGCTTGTATTTATGAACGTGTGTTCATATAGATGTGCCTGTACGTGACACCATTTGATTACGCACAACAAGTCTCAAAGCTTCAACGAACAACATAAAGGATTGCTTGAATTCATAGACGAGGAAAAAAAAATCATATGTAATTAGAAGAAATTGAAATGGCCACGTGATCTCACGTGTTATTATCTCGCTCGTTTATTTTTGATTCCTGGTAGAGGCGATGGTTTAAACGCTATAATGACCATCGAAGTTTTAACATTAGTTTCAAATATTCAATTAGAAAGTTTTCTTATTTTAATATTTAAATAAATAATACTAATGCAATTTATAATAGTTTATTTTAAATTTACAATGTTACAAACTTTTCAATGGTACTTGTGTAATTTCATTGTAAAATGATAATGAATACTTTGACATTTGTCAAATTGTCGAATTTATTCACGACACCAGACCACATAGAATTAATAATAATTATTTTGGGCGTGGCGTGGCGTGGCGCGTGGCAATTCGACCTATCTAATCTAATTTTGAATGTAGTCACCAGATAGCGTATTCAAATGCTAGAGATCCCAATACAGTGTAATAAACGAAATCGGTTGAACAAATCTACTTGTTCGATAAGAAGATATTTTTTTTCTCGTGGAAGTTACACTCATTCGGTTTACTCATCCTCGTTGGTTGTTTATTTCGTAAAGACGTAGCGCTTATCGTTCGACCGACAACCGCACATTTTCCTCTAGCAATTTCAAGGCGTTTACTGTCAGGAGACAGTCAGTCTGTCATCCGACTTCTTCGCATACGTCCACATCAAACAAAATGAGAGAGAAAGAGAGAGAGAGAAAGAGAGAGAGAGAAACAGCTTACGAATAAACAAACATTCTCAATACACGGTTTTTTTTATGGTGTTTGCTTATTCGTAATCACCCATAAATGTTGTATTTCCAAATGTGTCTTTTTTAAATACTTTGTTACAACTACGTTTATTAATTTGTCATTTTTTTTGTCAAAGGTGTTTCCTTTTATCTACAGTGATTTTCAAAACGTCGTGGTTTGTTTTTGTTTTTTTTTCTTTTTTTTTTTTTTTGTAAAGTGTTTAAATTTTAGTGCGTGTTATAAGCTCGTTAAATGGAAATTATTTGGTCATCTTATTCGAATTTCAAGGAGGAAACTTTAAACGTTTTGTGGGTATCTTTTGGTTTGAACAAAGCGTTAGAACTCGACTCCGTCCGGTGAAATTAATATCGACACCGACAAGATGAGTCGTAAGAAGGTTTGGAACTCGATTATACGACGTAAAAAGAACATAGATTCTTATTCAGACAAGTGTCCTCAAAATTCTTGTAAGTTTCTCATCCATGTTTTTATTTTCTCTATACGAGAGTGACATTGAAATATCAATTAAATATTAATTAAATATTAATTAGTAATAATTGATATTTGATTTGTCATCATCGTTACTAAGTGAACAACGAACGATAATATTACGAACGTTTAAAAGACGTTAATAAATTTAAAAATATATTTGTGTGAAACGTATTTGTATTGTGTTTGAAGTGTGCAATGGCTGTGCATGTGGCTGTGGTAAACCGCATAGGCTCATCGGAGAGACCTCCATGTTTTTCTACGGAAATGGAAACCGCACTTTATTTACGTTTACGTCATTAACCAAAAACCCAACTTCATATAATGTTGTTGCCTTGACTATTTCCCATTTTTATGATCATCTCGTAAAACATTAAATGTGCGTGCGTCGTGTGTACATGCGCGTAAGAGAAAGATAGATAATCAGAGAAAATTTGTATGAAAACCGATTTATCTATTCGTTCCTTTTCATCTCATCTCTTTCAACTTTCAATCTTTTCCAGCGCAATATCAAAATTAGTCTTGCACAATGTCAGGGAGTATGACGAATACGAGATTCGAGTTCACGGTCACACCGTATCTCTTGTGTTTTATTTTTTTTTTTAATCCTCCATAATGTTCTCGTCATTTTCAAATCATAAATATTCATATCTCTCATTTCACGTTTATTCTCGTTAGATTAATTATTCATTGATACCTCCTATTTTTTATACAGGATATACGCGTTAAAAAAAATCTGTTGATGAATCCAAAGGCTCCTAGAGAAGATAATTTTCAAAATAAATTAACCAAAAAAAACAGAAAGAAAAAAAAAGGGAAAAATCTGAACTCTAGTATTATATAATTACACTAATTTAAATGATATAAATTTGATTAATGTAATTTACAAATTATTATTTATGATGTTATGCATAACATCATAAAAGATTATACGTTTGTTGAAAGATTCATAATAAACTTCAATCACGCGACTGAAGAATATTCTTTGAAGATTTAACTCGTGCTTTTTTTTTGTGCAGATAAATATTTTTACAAAATGAGAGAAAAGCGATACGTTTCTTCAAGGGAGATATACGCTTGACGAGCTTATGAAGTATACTTTCTATGCTAAGGTACACTCACGTTCCGTAGTAGTAGCTTCGAATTGTAAAAAGGAAAGACGAAGAAGAAGGGACAATAAAGTCTGAGCACGCTTTGCCGTAGGGCAGACACTTTGTACTTGGGCTCAGTGGTAACAGGAGAAGACAATGGCAAACCCTCGTAACGCGATCCTACACTTCTGTACTTCGGTTACAACGTGGTACAATTTAATCTCTCTCTTTCTCTACTTGCTCTCGTTTAATTATGCTTCATACATATGAACACGTATACACGCATCCCGATACTTTGACCATGATTGACTCCTTTTAACAGTGACGAAAAACCTTGAAAAATACGTTAATCGTTCTTAACGTTAACAAATTAATTCTAATACTTTGTTGTTTTTTTTTTGCTCTCTTACTTGTAGGTGTGATCAAATTATCTTGTAGACTTGACACCCACATTTTTATCAACGAATAAGTGTGAGATGATGCATATTTTGAAATAGTCACAGGAAACGCCATTTACTATGTTGCTCGTTGTAAAAGCTCGATCTTTGTCACATCTTGTCTTTCTCTTTCTTTCTTTCTTTCTTTCTGGTTTTTTATCTCATTGAAGTGTTGGTCCCTTTCGAGAATTTTCTTTGTTCTCTCTCACTTCGGAGCTCTAATAATCGTCGAGTTTCACCTACCCACGTACTACGTTGGGTTGGCTTACGAAACACTCAAGGAAAACAATGTACACGGTGGTCTCGCGTCGCAAAACGCAAAAGGAGCGTTACGAAAGCGGAGAAGAGAACGAGAGAATCGTGGATTGCGAGATTTTTCGAATTCTCTCTCTCTCTGAAAGGCGCGGAAACATCGAGTAAACGTTCGAGCATTATAGTTAACTGTTTAATCAATTTTTACTAAAATTAAAAACTATACGTGGGTGCGCGAATATATTAACCCATTAGCTGCCACGATCCCCATTTGGGAATTTTGAAATTTTACGTACACCACTCGATTTTATGTGGACTGTATGGAAAAATGGCATAGTAATAGCTATTTTGTATGTATAGGATAATAATACAAGAAATAAGTAATAGTCTCTTATTAATTTTTATTCGTGCAATCAGCCACAATCCCCATTGAAGACTTTTTACAAAATATAAATATTTCTGAAACAAAAAATAATTTGGCAGTTAATGTGGGTTAATCATTTGAAAATTGTTAATTATGTTTAATCGGTTAATATTTCTTATTGATGTTGTCACTTTTATCATAAGATAGTGTGTGAAATATTTGCTGCGTTATAATTATTCAACAAGCTAATAATGACGATATATCACGTTACTTCAAGTGAAACGTAACGCATAGAGAGATTAGAAATGAACAAAAAAAAAAACGTCGTTTCGCTCTCGCACTTTGGAGATGAATGACGACGACGACGACGACGACGACGACAACAACAACGTTGACGTATATACACATGCATACATGCACAAGTAAATGTTATCTTGTTTTTGAAGTGAAAACTTCTTTAGAATGGGTGTGATTTAAAAAAATGTAACGGAGCGGTGGGAGGCGATGAAACGGCCAAGATACTAAATAAGAAGAGAAAATGTTATAATATTATAATAATAATATAATTTGTATTAGGTATACGTGTGATCTGCACACATGTTGTTTTTTGTATTTTGTTGTTGTTGTTGTTGTTGTTATTACATCTATAGAGGAATTTACACTCGTGCGATCGCATTTCCGTATATTGGGCCAAGGGGGGCTCTCCGATGATATGGTTCATGTGAACCATTAAAGGCTATTAAATTACACACAGGCATTACATTAATTACCACGATCAATTACTTCTAAAGAATTAAATCCCTTTCGTAGGAAGAAGGAGAAAATGATTTTAACCAGAACTAAATCAGGTATAAAAATGTTCTCGAATACGTTTAACTATTTCTCGGAACTGATTATACATGAAATAGTTGATTTTTTTGTTTATTATCGATTACAGTCGATAATTTGTCGTTAAACTTTCTCCTCTATTTTTGTCGTAATATTATCGGCACGTATTTCACAAAAAAGGAAATAAAATAAGAATGAAAGATAGAAATGGATGGAAAGAAAAAGGAACTCGTTTGAATGTAGCACCACAGTTGAGAAGAATTTCCACGATGCCAAGAAAAGTATCACAACAGAGGCATACTTTGGATCCGGAGCTGTCGTCTTTGCTAGAACAAGAACGAGATACTAATCATCTCTTGGTTGAATGTAAGTTCTCACATATAGGTGTAGTAGACGCAACCCAAGACAATTATTAAGCCATATTTAGAAAATAAACCACGAGCAATCTTATTCCTATTGTTTTTTCCTTATCTACTTCCTCGTAATTGTGTTTATAACGGGTGTTGCCAATCTAACGCTATGAAACTAACCAGTTTTAAACACAAAAACAATAAATTTGGATATTTTCGCAAATTTTATAATGAGGTATTATTCGTTAGAACATTTCAATTGAATTGTACTTTTCGTTTCAAACGGAATTTACTGATAAAGGGATAAATATATTTGATAGAATAAGAGAGAAAAAAACAGTTGCACCAACAAATTTTGTATTCTTTGCTCGTCTATCGACCACATACGTGGTCGACGCAAACAAACCCAACAAACACAGCACAGACTTAGACACGTACGTGATATTCATGCACAGGGATAAAAGATATTCACGTTGGGAAAGGATAGAATACTTTTCTTCCCAATGTTTACGCGAGGAAAGATCACTTGGAAAGCATCCAACAGTATTTTTACGCGTTTCGTCGGCTTCGAAAGTGCGGGAAAGAGGAAAGAGTTGCTCTGCAGCTTCCGCCCCCTTCCGCTCCCTTCCTTCTTCTCGCCAACGAAATGCATTTTTACTTAAAGGGTGTTACATATGTAACTTTGAAGATCGTACTTATTTCCATTACGTCATTTCTATCCTGTGCTTATACGATTCCTGACCTATATCCGATACCACGAATCCTCTACCACTACTAATAAACTACCATGTACATGCTGCCTCTGGATTGATTTGAAAATGTAATTCAATATTGAACCAGTAATATGAATCTACGTGCAGTATTAACCCTTATTGCACATGGGACGTTTGATATTCCAACAAATTTTTGATCTCTCGAAAACGACCGTAGTGAATTCGAAAAAATGGGTTATTTGTCTAGTGTCATCTAGTGTTAATTCAAATAGTTATATAAAACCTATTCTATTTTAAAAAAGATGTATGAAACTACTTTGAAAAAAATTGCGAGGTCTAAATATTAAATAGCGGCTTCAGGAGACGCGTTCAAACACCCACAGGTGCACTTTAACTAACTTTTACCAAGTGTGCACTTTAAGGATTAAACAAAAATAAATTAGATATCGTGGAGAAACGAAAATGTATTGGATTGGTCAAATTGTTATATTTTATATTGAAATACAAAAATTCATATTTTATAATACCAATCTAATACTATAATTGTAAATTATATAACCGTACATGAATCGTTGATTATTTAAATTGGCATTACCATTAGTTAACTCTGATAATGTTTTACTATTTGTTTTAGGTGAGTTGAAGTCACTCTCACTGCCGAGAGGATATCCTCCGGAAATAATTGTGAAGCAGGATGATCAAGGTAAAAATGAGAACTGCGTATTATACACCTACACGTGTGTGTCGTATGTATATATGTATGTATGTACCATTAATTACGTCGTTCGAGATCTCCATATACAGGTAGAGAGAGGCTTTTTATATCGTTCGAGTATTCGTTTAATATCTCAAAAAGGTATCACCTCTTTTTTTTTTTTTGCTACTCGAGCAGACCCCAAAGTGTCTACTACTACTACTCGACCTAACTTTCGCTTCTATATCGTCGTTGCAATAAGTTCACTCTTTAACACGTCATGTCATTTTTTGACGTTAGACTATGACATTTATTGGACCACGCAGCAATTTTTTTTTTCTTTTAAAAAGATTTGCAGTTTTAATATAAATTTAACGATTCATATAGAAACATAACATCGAATCGAATGGTTACCCGATGAAAAATATTTCCAATGTTTGCACCAAATATCAATATTTGCAGTTCTGTTAGATAGCATTTATTTATTTCAATATTTTTCATAGAAAATAAATCCATGCATCAGAGGATTAACTTGCTATGTACCTTGGGAATATAATATAATATTATCCTCGGGAAAAATAACTTGGCACGCGGAGTATATACTCGATTGAATTCTCATTGCTAAAGTTCAAATTTGTTGACAAGAAAAATATTCCAATGGTAAAAAAGAAATAATCGATTATCTTTTTTCCAACTGACGCATTTTGGCAAGGAGTGAGTATCGGCTTCCCGATTATCGGTCCTTTAGAAATTCTAGATACTCGGTCGACCACGGGCATTTCCATCTTACCAATGTACCATACATAGATTTGAACGTTTGCTATGCAGAGATCGATTGAAATGGATGATGATGGACGGACATAGGGAGATTTCGGGATAACAGTTTAACAAAAAGTCGTTTCGTTTTTCTTTTGTAAAAATGAAGGGAAGTGGTCATAAATAGTTGAATTTGATAAATTTAACCTCTCGATCGATCTCATGTGTTACTATTTGTCGGTTTGCATCAACTATTTATTTATTGCGTCAGCAAAAAACGAAATGACTTTCCGAACCACCTAATAAAATCCACTTGTAAAGACAAAATATTGATAACATATAATAATTCATTTGTTCTTTAGTATTATACCAAGTCATCCTTATATAGGTCATCCATGAATCTGTAGGAACGATTGACCCATTTAGAAGTTGTATCGAAAGAGTTAATCATTTTCTCTCTCTCTCTCTCTTTCACAAGTTAACCCCTAGGAGAATGGTACAATAAAGAGAAAATTTGTAGAACTGAAAGAGAGAGAGAGAGAGAGAGACATTGTCGCGTAACGAAAAGTACGATTAGCCATAGCCAGAACATATTTACGATGCAGTATGGCCCTGAGCCAAGTTAATGCGCCAAAGTTACGTCAAACTACAGAGCAGAGGAACGTGGCGCGCACTCTCTTTGCTTGTGGTTTTAGGAAACTCACTTTATTACTATTCTCTACTAGTAGAGGGGTTGTCTCTTATTCGGTCTATGTTAGCAGCGAACACGTCACGTACGCGATTCAAGGAGTAGTAGGTCACAAAATGAACTTTTTCAAAATACTTTTGCTTCATGCACATTTTTCATCAATCATTGGGGGACGATTAGGATACATTCTAAATATTTTCTTACTTTTATTTATTGAATTTTTGTAGTGTGTGTGTGTATGTGTGTAAATGTAAGATCAAATGAATGGAGAGGAAACGATCCAATTTTAGTCGTAGCGAGGTAAACTCATTGAAGACGAGAATGCTTTTAACGCATCTTGTTAATCGACCTTGGCCTACTATCTCGTGGTCAATAACGTCGATAGTTAAAAGACACATACGTTACTTATAGTTAGATACTAAAAATATATCGTGTACTCGATAATTTGTTATCATCTTGTCTAGATATAAAACGAGATCTTTAAATATAATGTCATCGTGTCGCGCAATTACTTGACGCTTCGATTGATAATTAATAGGCGTTAAAAAAAAAAAAAAAAAAATTCTCAAGTGAAACATTTATCCACTTATAGATAATGTACATATTTAGCTCGGATACGAAGTTTTTTTTTTTTTTTTTGCTTTATTTTCTATAACGTTGTATCAATTTTCAAGTTAAATATAAGAACGTGCATTTTCTCTTTTTTTCTTCTTTTTTTTTGTTATATGTTTCGTTCCGGAAAATGAATTCTCGTTGAATATCGAACGGGCTAATTTTGATTTTGTTCACGTTACGAAAACAACATTTTGATCGACCTCGGATGAATTACGTTTGTGTAGGAAAAGAAAAATGTAGAATTTTAAATTAGGTTAATAGCGTCGATCTCTTTTTTCGTTTTCATCATCTCGTAGAAAAGTAGGTTTGATTTTTTCGTAGAGATTTTGAAAAAGAAGAGAAAAAGATAGAAGAAGAGTAGGTTGCATCAAGCGTTAAAAATAATGTCCGGTGGCGTCGATTGTCTCGCGCGTGGTGGTGGGTCTGGGTTCTTTGATAGCAAAGAGGAGAGGATGAGGAAGAGTAATTTACGAAGAGAAAGAGAACGGTAGGGACATCTTTCATTTCCTTTTTCCTTCTTCCCCTATCAGATCCCCGTAGAATCCAGGGGGGCCCCAGCTGAGAATAGCTCGTGCTCGACATAGGGTCCCCATCATTCTCCGTTAAGATTTCCCTCTTTTTTCAAGCTCATGTCTGGATCATCTCTTCCTACACAACACGCTGCACGTTGCAGTTAGTAATGTTACCACCACTACTATTACAAGGATTTCTCTTCGTCCCGTTCTTCTCTCTATTTGTTTCTCGTTTCTGGCCAGACGACTTGGCGCGCGTGCCACTTTACGTGTTCCACCAACCTATTCATTCTCTCACTCTCTTATCGTTATCTCCCTTTCCCCTACATCTCTTTTTCTTTCTTTCAATGAGCTAGTCAAAATCCTCTCCTCCTTTTATATATCATTGAAAATTTATCTTTAAAAAAAGAAAGAAAAAAAACCTCGACGAATGACCCACTTAAATAATAATAATAATAATAATAATAATAATAATAATACGAACGCTAGAATTTCTTCGATAAAAATACGACGATAGGTATGTAAATAAAATAATAAAAATCGAATAAAAATCGAATGAAAATCAAATGAACGTCGTACGCGGGCCGATCAGCTGATCGACGTAGTCCAATAAATGTGAATAGGGTGGGGGGATTCGATGAAAGCGCCAAGAAGTGATCGTGGCCAATGGTGGAAGTTATGCCAGTTACCTCCTACGCTCGGGGAATCCAACGAACGAGACAACAGTCCAATTCCGATGTTCCCGCGCGACGGTAGACGATCGAGAGAGTAGTGCTTCTTCTTCTCTCGATCCGCCTACTGCGAGTATCCATCCTTTCTGCTACTATTCTCTTCTTCCTCCTTCACCATCACCACCACCACCATTACTACCACCACCATTTTACCACCACCTCCTTTTGGTGCGTCGTAGTCGTCGTCGTCGTCGTAGTCGTCGATGCGAACATCGTTGAACGCGCCTCCGCGTCTCGTTGAATCGAGCTCGCGAACGGGAAGTTGTTCTTTCGTTAGTTGTGTGGTTTTTTTTCCCCTCCTTTAGAGTGGTGTTCCAAATAATAATAATAATACGTTATTTCAATAATAAAATGAATATACTTTAAAATAAACACACATAGAAAGAGGTAATATATTTCATTCAAACGTTGATTTGTTCAAAGTTAACATATCGGTGCTAATTCATTTGATTTTCTTGTTGTTGTTTTATTTCTTCTTTTTTTTTTATCAAAACGATAGCAACTAATTGTCGTCGTTTCATTTCTCTTCCTTATTTATTTCATTTAATTTAATCTATTTTGATATGATGATGATGACGACGACGACAACAACAATTTCTCTACCGTTACGTGTTTTTGTGCATTAGCGAAATAAAGAAAAGTTTTTAGCATTTCTTATCACCTCGAAAGTGCCACGACGTTATATTACCAACCGTTACCTTGCTTGTTACACTCGTTTTTCTAACCTTTACAATTATTACATTTTTATTATTCGATGTTTCTTCAAAATGAAAGTATAAATTCTATTGTTTTATTGTTTATTTTAATATTTACAATTAGATTGAAATTATGATATTAATTTTAGTATTTGTACGAAACAAAAAAGGGGGCCTTGTCGCAAGTAAATGTAAGACAAATTTTTGAAAAGAGAAGTGTTAGGAGATAGTACAAACGTAGATTAAGTTAGATAGATTAGATTTTGTCGTGGGTGGTGGTATCCTGTTCGAATCCGTTGCAAGTCTGATTCTCGAGTTATACAATTATACATATACACATATATACATATATATATGTTTATGCATATATATATAAATGTACATATGTACGTTATCTTTCTTCAGGGAAAGGAAAATTGATGGATGAATTTGATCGTAAAAGACGAATCATCTGTAGTTTTTTATCTATTTCACCAAGTATTATTATTACAGTTCTGCTTGTTTCTTTTTTTATCATAAACATGTGTATATGGGGCAAGTGTATACGTCTGCTGCTGTTATACCTATCCATTTAACTATCTTTATCTCTTTTTCTCTCTCTCTCTCTCCTTCTCTCTTTCTCTCTTTCTCTCTTTTCCACAGCTACAAAACAGTGGAAGAGTTCGATAACTTTGAAGCTTCTCTCCAAGGATGATCTTTCACCTTGACGTCTTGATCTATCTCGAAGGAAGATCTTGTACTCGTGGAGAGCGTGTTCGCGTGCGTGTTTTCACGTTCCCACGAACACTCGAATATTATTTTATACATACATACACACACACACACCCTCCCCCTTTCTATTTCTCTCTTTCCCTTTTTTTTTACGAATTAAATGTAATTTTCGGTATATGAATTTTCATTTTTACAGAATCTCAAGGGTGAGAAGATCCTTCTTCGGAAGAAAAGCTTTTCTCTTCTTTGTTTCTCATCTCTACCCTTTTATTTTGATTTTTATTATCCTTTCTTTTGTAAT